CAGGAGATGTTAAGGTCAGAAACAGAGGTGGGCAGTGAGTGGCTAGTTAGGGGGCTAAAGATAGCCCAAGATAGGGGCTGGAGAGTTGGCTCAGTGCTTGGGAGCACTGATTGCTCTTGCAGAGGACCTGGATTTGATTCCCAGCACCCACATGGTGGCTAACAACTGTCCTAACTCCAGTTCCAGGGGATCCAACGCCCTCCTCTGACCTCCTCCGGCACTGCATGGCGGGTGCACCTAACAACATGCAGGCCATACACTCATATACATAAAAATAATAAAAATTTTTAAAAAGGTAGCCCAACATAATTGTAAGTAAGCTCTGGATCAGCAGCATTCCAAACCTGCACAATCACTGAAGTGTCAGCCTTGCAAGAAGTTAAGTTCAAAATGCAAGATATTTCTGGGAACTTTGACATTATTTTTATGTGTATGAGTTTTGCCTACATGTATATAAGTACATCCATGTGTGCAGTGTCCACAGAGAGTATCAGATCCCCTGGAAATGGAGTTACAGATAGTTGTCGGGTGCAAGAAAACCAACCTGGGTCCTCTGCAAGAGCAGCCAGTGCTCTTACCTCTGAGCCAGCTCTCCAGCCTTATTTGTTGTTGTTTTGAGACAGGTTCTCCTGTAACCCAAACCGACCCCCCTAATTCACTAAGTAGCCAAGGATGCCCAAACCTCTTGATCTTCCTGCCTCCACCTCCCCAGTCCTGGGATTATGGCTATACACCATCCCACTGAGTTTTGCAGTGCTAGGGGATCGAACCCGGGACCTCAGCCCCAGGTGTGCTAAACAAGCACTTTACCAACTGAATCACATCTTTAGTTGGTTTTCTTTCTTTTTTTAGATAGTTTAGATATTTTGGATTTTTTTTTTTTTAATTTTAGATAGTTTCATGTTGCCCGGTTTTGCCAGAGTTCTCTCTGGGTCTCTTGCACTATCAGGCAAACCATATAACATATCTTTATGTACATAAATGAACACCCAGCGCCTAGCTCCGTGCCACCCTGCAGCTCAGAGCCCGCCATACCAGATCACTCCCGCTACATGTCCACAGTCAACGCTAGCCTTCACCCCACCTCACGGGCCAGCAGTCTCCTCCCAGGCCTGTAAATGCCCCCTCTCATGATGCGAGTGAGACACCCAGGCCATCTCTTCTCCACGTCCGCAGATGTGGGTTCCTGTTGGGTCTTGGCTCCCGTCCCAAGATGGCACCACAAGCCCCTCCTTCTGAGCCTGCCTATTCACATTCAACCCTCCGCAGCGGCCCCGCCCCTTGGAGGAATCAGGACCCCTGGGGAACACACCAGATCTTGCCTCAAACTTGCTCTGTCACTGAAGATGAGTTTGAGCTCCTGATACTCCTGCCTCTGCACCCCAAGTGCTGGGATTACAGGCACGAGTCACCAGTCTTGGCTGTGTCTCTCCAGGTCTTTGTTTTGTTTTTTGTTTTATGTGTATGATGTGTATGACTGTACTGCCCGCACGTATCTAAATGCACCTATGTCGTGCAGTGCCAGGAAGGTCAGAAGAAGGAGTTGGATCCCACTGGAACTGGAGTTCCAGTGTTAGCTGCCATGTGGGTGCTGGGAACCAAACCCAGGTCCTCTGCAAGAGCAGTTCTTCACGCTGAGCCACCTCTCCAGCCCCATCTCTCCATTTCTTTACTGTGGCCATTAGACACAAATACTTTTATTCTAATAAGTACATTTCTTTTTTGTTTGAAACTGGAAGAAAAATATTCTGTTTTCTATACCCCAAGTAATGAATCCTTACCACTGTTTTTCTTGAGATAAGCTCTTACTATGTAGCCAAGGCTGGATTGTATTCTTTTATTACATTTGTGTGTGTTCGCATGCACATATGTGTGTGTGCGTGCGTGTGTGTGTGTGATGTGAGCCACCCAAAATGGGTGCTGGTAACTGAACCTGGGCCTTCTGAAGAGCAGCAAGCGCTCTTAACTGCTGAGCCATCTCCCCACCCCCTCACACAGTGGTTCTTACTGGCTCCTCGATGAGCATCTCATGGAATCTGCATCCCTGAATTGGGTTCCTTTAGCATCACAGTTTCTATTTTGAAATGCTGCTGTGATGAGAAGTGAAGTCATATTCACACATAAACTCAAGAGACTGGACCTGTTTTATTAGGATTCAATGGGCACAAGGCTCATGAAGAGAGTTCACTTTTACAGACTTGTACATAGAAAAATACACTGACACAAAAGCAGTTATTTTTATATCAAATCTGAAGGCTTTTCAAAGAGAATACAGAATATTTCAGTCATTCAAGGTGGCTCTCATGTGGGCCGCATGTCACATTATACATTCAGTCCTATGCTACGTTTGAAGCCAATACTACCGGTATCTATTCCATATTTACTTCTTGATGGCTACAATATGAAAACACTGACATTTTTATTTACAAAAGAGACATAAAAATGTGTCCTGATGTGTAATAGATTCCACTGAAGTTTTATGGAAACTTTAGAAGGCACTGCTGTGTGGTTATGGGCCTGCTCTGGAAACATCACCACACAGTTAGACACATAGGCTTCAACCATGTCTTTGGTATTTAAAAGAATCCTTCATCTCAAGGCTAGATGAATCTTAGCAGCCATGGCTAATCTCAATATGGAGTGGTCAAAGGACAGTGGCAATGATAGGTGTTCAATAAAAAACTCATTTGACAATTACCACACGGAAGTAATTATTTGCCATTATACTTGTTTTTCTAATTATAGTTCTGCCAAACATTTACTGTCACAAAATACGTGTTTTATTTTTTAAATTATAATCAATGATATTTTTTTCCTAATAGTCACTAACCTTTTTAGGAATTTTCATTTTTCTTTTAAATTATACTTATTATTGGTATGTATGTGTACATGGGGGGGTATGTACACACCATGGGGCATGTGCAGGTTGAAGGACAAGCTGGGTGAATCTGTTCTGTCCTTGTGGGTCCTGGGAATTGAACTCAGGTCTTTGGGCTTGGTGGCAAGAGCCTTTACCTCCTGAGCCATCTTACTGGCTGAAATTTACTTCCTTCAAACCACTGTAATTCATAAGACTTTTGCAGCACATTCTAAAACCACCCTTATTTTGGAATGGAGACACTTTGGCAACAGTTAGTAGAATACATGATCTTGGCAAGATCCAGCAAGTAAGCATATGCTCACTATCCCAATGAAAAGTACAAGCTTCTCAGCACTTTTTCTTCAACTAGAATACAGATGTGGTTGCTTGAACACAAAACATTGATCTCACATCAAAAGGTAAACATTCTACATAATTAAAGATGAATTTTCTTCAATTAAAAGCCAATAGAATACACAGTTCCAAAAATATCAATACAGAGCCTGATGGTGCAGACAGAACGTTAGTAGTTGACAAACTAGCTGAAACTAGGGCCTGACGATGCCAGACCGACAGTAGAGAAGAAGCTACAGCTTTTCTTACCACAAATGCAGCAGAAGCAGCAGCTATGTTCAGACGTGGCCAGAACCAAGAGCCTAAGTGCAAATGCCTGGATCTCAGGGAACTGGATCCACAAGCTCTGGCACCCTGACTCTTCAGCCAGCGCTAGTGCCATGAGAACATAGCTACGGGGCAGAAACCTGACTTCACTTACTCCCACTACTTAGCCACCCCTGCCCCCCGCCACGTCACACTAAGTCCAGTCTACCCAGTATCTACAGATAAGGCCATAATTTGTCTATGCTCATGTTCAAGGGAATGCTTACATTTAAAGTACTGCCAAAGGACATCAAGGACATCAACCTGATTTTATTTATATATATATATATATATATATATATATGTTCTTATTTAACATTCAAGTGGTTGGAAGTGATGTTCTAAAAGGTCATTTATAGAATGATTTTTTATTTTTGTATTTGGATTCAAGACCCTGACAACTTTTTCATTGCATCAGAGATCTTAATGTGAGACTCTGGGTCTGTCCATGTCAAGGCAGGTGATGGTATGGTCAGCATTTGCACATCTTTGTGGCTGCAAAAGCCTGAATCCTTGAATGACCCACCACCACGGGGCTGAGGTTTTATACGGCACTTTTGGCTCTGTGAAATAGATCTCCTAATTCTCAGACTAAATCTTAGAGAAATATTTATAAGACTGTAATCATTTAAAAACTGGATGCTGTGTTAATGTCTAATGAAATGCCAAGAAACAGGCAGCGCACAAAGCCTGTTACTCTCTCTGTGCAATGTGTCAGCCGCAGAGCTCACAGACAAGAGCCCCCTGAACTGCGGCGATGCTGACTCAGTTTCTCAGCAGCCACATGCCCCCTTCGGCTTCTCCTCATTTAGCTGGTCTGCAGAGGTGTGGCCATTGGATCGTACCACTCCTTCCGGAATCCAGGACTTGTCCACACACCGTTCCATTCTCTTCATTATCAGATCCAGGAGCGTCTCGATGGCTTGGCTTATGTTTGTCCCGTTTGCAGCACTAGTTTCAAAATAAGGGATTCTGGAAGGCAGAAGCAAATCAGGTAACTGATGTGGAGAAAGCACAGTGACCTTTGCACTTTATAATTTAAATTAGAAAATATGGCCAGGTGCAGGGGTGCTCTCCTTTAATCCCAGCACTCACAAAGCAGAGGCAAGCAGACTTCTGAGAGATTGAGGCCAGCCTGGTCTACATAGTGTATTCCAGGCCAGCTGTGGCTACAGAGAAACCCTGTCTCAATAAAAAAGAAAACAAACGAAGGGGATATAAATATACAAGGTGACAAAAACAAGCATCTGACTACCATAGGTTTGGCTCCTCAACACTGAAAAGAAAAAGTGAAAAGAAAAACAGCAGAAAGATGCCAGTCTGGGCAACACAGAAAGACCCTGTATCAAAAAGTAATTCAGACTGCGTCAGTAATAGAGATGCAAAACAAGGCATTTTAGACCCTCCAAAAGGTTAAAAACAAAACAAAACAAAACCGCCTTTCCAGTATATACTTAGGAACATTACAGTCTTAAAACGTTTTTATTTTAAAGGCAGGAGTAGTGCCACATGCCTGTAAAAAACAGCACTTGAAAGGCTGAGGCAGGAGGATTGTCAAGAGTTCAAGACCATCCAGGGCTTTGAAGCAAGATCTTAACTCAAAAAACAAAACTTTTTTGACTATTTGAAACTTAAATCTCATTACTGAAAAAATAAAAAAAGTTTAAATTCTTCTGTGAAAAGTAAAACTGAAACATTTTTAGAAGAAAATATGAAACTATATGTCAGTAGAATAAGGAAGCATTTCTTAAATTCTTTTTTGTAATAATTTATTTATTATTTTTATTTTATTTTATGTGTATGAGTATGTATTGCCTTCAGGTGAGTAAGTGCGCTCGTGTCGTGCAATGCCGGTGGAGGTCAGAAAAGGGCATTGGATTCTCTTGGAACTGGAGTTATGAAGGTTGTCAGCCACCATGTGGGTGCTGGGAATCAAACCCAGGTCCTCTGAAAAAGCAGCTGGAACTCACTATGTAGAGCCATCTTTCCAACCCCTTTCCCTGTTATTTTGATACAAATTTTTCTTTAAATCTAAAACTATATCCTTTATTTTTAAGAAGTACTGGTGTGTGCTGACCAAGTTTTCAGACAGATTAATATATAGAGGACATACAGGTACAGGGAGATCTTAGCATGGTTCTTTTCTTGGTTTATATATGTCACAACAGGTACCTCTGATGGGAAACTGACCATAATTTGGTTAGGATGGCAAAATAGTATCAATAGTAATATTCTATATGTGAGAGTAATTAATTTTCTCATGGACCTTTGGACAAACAACATTGGTAGAGAAATGGCCATTTTCATCACCCTATGCAGGATCAATCAGTTCAGAAGTCCTCTGATCCAATTCTGCTATAGCCTTAAATTTCTTTTGCATAGTGTATAGACTCTTATTACAGAGGTCAGCGATGGAGCTATAAATTCCATTTAACATTAAGCAATTTCTTGAGGAAAATTACACTGAGAGAAAAGCAGTTGTGTAAA